TCACATGGCTGTGCAAACTCACAACCAAGCCACCAACCCACCAAGCACAACCAAGCCAAGCGCAAGCAGAAGCACACAGAAGCACAGCTCAAGTGACACACAAGTGCACAGTCACACACAGTCACACAAAGAGACTGAGACACACGGGTCGACAAAGCGCACAAGTGGCGCAAGGAGCACATTTTCTTTCCGTGTCCTCGGCTCCCACCACCTCACAGCCCCCTGTCAGAAGCGCAGATAGCAGCCCTTCTTGCGTGTCTGCGTGTCGGACGTTCAAGCACGACATTTGAACCAATCTCCTCGTATCATCTCCAGCGTCTACCTTTGCTGCATCCTTCTGGCTGGTAACCATCGTGACAAGAGGCCGCATCATTTGTCCGCGCCTTCAAGAACAGAGCACTGTTTGCCAATTCAACATACCAGGTGAGATTCAACACCTTCGTGCCTTGCAGTGACTTGCAGTGTCTGCAGCGCTTCACGTTTGCCTTGCAAGGAAATCGTCTAGTTGTTGGCAATGTGATGGCTGGACTAGCCCAGCTGATCTTGAGTGTTCACTGTGCGTCTGCTGTCTATCATGTTGCCCATCACGCTCATCAACCTTCGTTCGCTACCTGCTATGTTTCCTACTCCTATTTCATTCCTCAACACCAGACGAGCAGACGTCATGCAGTTTGGCTTGGTGTGCTTGAAGAATGGAGTCCATTTCTTCCAAGAAATGACCAATCGCAATGGCTGGAATGTGTACAAACGACCCGTTCTGGTCAGAGTGACGCCTCTCAATGAGGACCAAGTCCAGAGCGGCGGGTCGTTTGCTGCCACACTGCGGTGTGCGTTCACCAAGGCGTTGGTGGTAGTTGACCAATCAGACGTGATTGTTCATCATTCCAAGCACTCTGAGCCCAGCCACCCTGTCGTACATCTGACACGGCAACCTGGCAGCACCTATGCGTTGAACACATCGTCAACCGTTGTGGTTCAGATGCTACCGCATGCTGACGACCATGTGCGCCGGATGATCCACCGCCTGAATGGCTTGAACGCCGAACTGAATGCGCTTGAAGAGGCCCGCGCAGCGTCCACCGTGACGACCCAAGGCATCCGCCTCAACAGCGGGTTTCCGACGCCATACGAGCTTGCGCGCAAGTACACGTCGTGCATTGAGATGCAATGCGAGGTGCTGGAAGAGCTGTTGGAAGGAGAGCTGCAGCCAGCCGCACTCCTGGCAGACATTCAAGCCGTGTATGCCCATGCCGAGAATGTTGTTCGCGCCAAGTGCCAACAGCTTGCGGAAATCTCGCATGTTCAGCCCGGAGATGCGCATGTGCGATACTGCCTTCAGAACAGCTTCCACCTGTGGAGCACACAAGCTGCCGCGAATGATGGGGCTTGCACGGTGAACACGCGTGGACTGCAGCAGATGCGCCGCCACTTGCTTCCCATCTTCATGGCTTGCATTCTCACTGATCCTCCCATCGACATCGACTCCACCTGCCAGGACTCGCAGCACGTTGACAGAAAGCAGTACCTTGACCTGCTACCGCAGAAGAACGTCGCTGCAAAGATAACGTTGGTGCTTCCTGCACTGGTGTGGTGCAATGGACAGACGAAGGCGGTGCTTGCCGAGGCGAAGTACCTGTGGGAACCCCAGGAAAACATGCATACTGATCCACACCAAGTCCACGAGGCTCCGAGCGCGGGGACAGGGGTGTGCACCGACACTGACTGCGTCAAAGACACGGACTGCGATTCCCAGTTGACTGTCTCTTCAGCATCGTCTGCTGACGGCGATTGTGTCGAATGCATGAAGAATGAAAGTGCTTCTTCACACAAGGTATCCTGGAACACAACCGAACCGACCATCAGCGAGCACCAACTCCAGCCAGCACAGCACGAGGTTACGGCTGCGGTGCAGGACTCGCAGCCCCACGCTGCTACGTATGAGGCTGACCACAAGCTGTCTCAGACGTACGTTTGCACACAAGCTTCAACGTTTGCCCATCGCAAGCGAAAGGTGCTCGGCCTCCCTGCTCATCACCCTCCCTCCAACGCCTGCTTCGGGAATGTTGCGACTTGTGATTGCTCGCCATTCCCCAGCTGTGCTACGTGCGTCTGTCCAACATGTTCGTATGCTCGGCCATGACTGAGCCTCACCGTCCCTTTCCGCATGCCTTCGTTCTTGTTGCTACTCTCACCTCCCCCAATGCCTTCTTACTCTCAATACCCATCTTTCTCCCTCATTCTGTTACGTTGCCACAAACTGTGAAGTAAACACCTTGACGCAATGAGCCTTACAACCACGTGCATTGATTCCAAAGTACAGAGGCACGCTGGTTTGAAGAGCCATGATGAATTCACCAATACCAACCTCTCCCATGCATCCACTGCGCGAACGCGTGACTTGGACCCCGAAACGCTGCCGCCCAAACTCACAAAGTATTGCGTTCATCGTGGTCGAACGTAGTGTATTTAATGTGTGCGTTGAAACAAGACAGAGGGCGACGCAGAAGAAACAAGGTGGAATGTACAATATGCAAACAAGCCAGGAGAGTGCAGAGCACTTGGATTCACCACAAACGTCGCGCATGCATGGTGCAGTCTCCAGCCAGAAAGCCACGAAGCGAAGGTCAAGCAGTGTGGTCAAAGTTGAGAAGCACGCGCTCCTTGGCACCAGTTGTGCGCGAATGAACGAACATCATCAGCTCCGTCTCTCCAAACTTCATGCTCACATCGATGTGTTTGTCTGACCACTTCCCTCCGGACTTCACTGCCACTGACCCTGATCCATGCTGCTCAACATCCTTGTCATCAGAAAACACTACGTTGCTTCGGGGACACAACACCAGGTTCACTCGCACACTAGACTGCAAATCACGAGCAGGGCACACAGTGTGCTTGACCTCGTGGTCGATAGGCACCTTGTCGTTCGCCTTGACAAATGTCAGAAATAACTTCTTCACATCGTACTCCTTGGAGTCAGGGTTCCATTCCGTGCGGCCATCGTGCGACACACCAGGGTGATGAGCCTTGAACGATGCCACATTCATGCTCGATTCAATGCCGTACGTGAAAGGTGACCGCCGGACCATGACAATCGCAGCAGCAGCACCAGGGTGGTCGCACGAGCCAGCCCGGGACAGACCGAACCTGACGGCGCCCATGACGATGGAGGCCCAAGGCCGGGGTGGGATCAGCACCTGCACACCCGATTCCGATGCAGCCTCCCGCACAGCATCTCGCACAAAGCTGCTACCCCCAAACCCGCCAACAAGCACAACATAGTCCGTCCGCCCCATGTCGCGCAGCAGCTCACGCACGTGCGTCTTGATGTCATTCAGCACCTCGTCGTAGAACGTCTTCATGTGCGCAGCGGTCAGCTTCAGGCTTGCAGCACCAAAGCACTTGAGGTTCGCGCCTGGGTGCTTCCTGTTGTACCGGGCCACGGCATCGACCAGCTTGGGTGGCCTGTCCATCTCTTGAAGCACAGGGTTGAGGTTGATGCGCAGCCTGGCGTCGGGGTCGCTCAGCCGTGACACGTCAAAGTTCACCTTGCGGTCCTCCCACACGCTCGTCAGCATGTCAAACACCGCAAACGTGTTTGCGCGCAGGCACGGCGGGTTGTCCAGCAGCTCGCGCAGGAACTCCAGAAACTTCTCGTCAATGCGGGTGGAGCCCCAGTTGCCGCCGCGCGGTGGCAGTGCCGCCTCAAGCCGCACGTTCGGCTTCGGCTGCATCGCCTCAAACGCGGCCGTGTCCACCGTGCCCCCGCCACAGTCCACCACCACATACCGCGTCCCCCGCTTCAGCAGGTCCGCAGCAAGCGTCTCGTGGCAGTCCAGCGCAGCACACTCCGGCTCAAGCGCAAGCAGCAGCCGGTCAGAGGTCTCCGTGTCAATCAGCCCGGCCTTGAATGCCGCACGCCGCATCAGCGCCTTGGACGACTCCTCCCAGATGGCAGGCACCGTCAGCACCCACTGCACCTCATACGCGCTCACGTTGAGTGCGTTGCGGTCCTTGATCTGCTGCAGCACCATGTCCTTGAGCAGCCCCAGGCAGCGTGCAATCACCAAGTCCGTCGGCAGCTCCAGGTCGCCCACGTCCGCCTTCAGCGTCTTGGCGCGGGAGTTCTTGTACAGCTGCATCTTGAAGCGGTGGAAGATTGCGTGCTGGTCCTCCTCATAACACTCTGTCGCTGAGGGCCCAAACCCAACAGCGTTGTGCGGCGCCTGTCGCTCAACAACAACGCTCGTCGGCACTTTGATGTTGGTTGCGCCGGGAAACTGCAGCGCCGTGATGTCCTGGGAGCCCGCCAGCGCGTATGCCGCTGCGCTGTTGGTTGTGCCAAACTCAAGGGCAGCCGTGCACTTCACAGCGGGCTTCCTTGTGCTGCTTGACCTTCTAGCATCCATCGCTTCCGACTGCTTCCGACTGCTTGCGACTGCTTCCGACTGCTTCCGACTGCTTCCGACTGCTTGCGGCTGCTTGCGTACGTGTCCTTAGTGCTAGTTCAGCTGGTCCTGTTGTAGGGGCGGGTGTGTGTGTGTGTGTGTGTGTGTGTGTGTGTGAGTGAGAGAGAGTGTGTGTGAGTCTGTGAGTGAGTGAGTGTGTGAGTGCGATCGGGTGGAGGGAGACGTGTGGAAAATGATCCACACACAGGAAGAGGGAGAAGCAGACACAAAGCAGGCATCACAAAACAAGCAGACACACACACACACATACACACACACAAGCGCCAAGCCATTGCATGCTGCAAATGTTGTGTCAAGTCTGAGTGCTGTGAGTCATGTCACCTCACAAGCTCACAAATGTTATGGTTGACACACCAAACCTCAGCCTCACCGCCACTGCAAGCCTGCAAGCCATTGTTGCCGGCTTGAGAGCATGGTGTCCACTCCACAGCCTCCACTGTTGTCTTGCAGTGGCACAATGGCTGAGTCAGTGCCGTTGTTGCTCGCAAGCAAGAAACGTTGTGAATATTGGATGAAGATACAAATAACTGTCCAAGAACAAAGAGAATGACACATCGCTGATGCGACGCACCCGCCCATGTCGCATCTCACTTGTTGTGGGTCTGGATTGCCTCCTCTTCCTTTGTTTTGAGAGAGTGGCCTGAGAAAAGTTGTGTCTGCTGGCTGTGCTTCTTGTTCACATGACTGTGCGCTGGTTGCTTCGTTGTTGGTCGTGGCACCATGACGTGTCACATGGCTGTGCAAACTCACAACCAAGCCACCAACCCACCAAGCACAACCAAGCCAAGCGCAAGCAGAAGCACACAGAAGCACAGCTCAAGTGACACACAAGTGCACAGTCACACACAGTCACACAAAGAGACTGAGACACACGGGTCGACAAAGCGCACAAGTGGCGCAAGGAGCATATTTTCTTTCCGCGCCCTCACCTCCCACCACCGCACACCCCCTGCCAGAAGCGCAGATAGCAGCCCTTCTTGCGTGTCTGCGTGTCGGACGTTCAAGCACGACATTTGAACCAATCTCCTCGTATCGATTCTACCATCTCTTTGAGCTTGCTGCAGCTTAGTCAATAGTTCGGGGACAAGCAGACAACACGGGCAGAGCCATGTCTTCAAGCACCTCAACACACAGGCCGATGGCCTTCGGTGTCGTTGTCGAAGTTCGTGGGCCTCCCATGCTCCTGTATGAAGGACAGCTGCAACGCGCCCCCATCGTTTGTTTTCCGCCCTTCGATCCCGGCCAGCGTACAATGACGTGCCACCTGCGATCTGCTTGGACTGGTGCGAAGCTGGAGTTTTTCGAGCGTCTGCTGGATGCACATGATCATGCGGCAAAGGTTCGGCTCCGACAGCAGGAATCCGGAGCACTTGAAATTGAGGATTCTGGCAAGTTCATCATCTTACCAGCCACCAGCTTCAACAACGCAGTGATGAAGCTGCACGAGACACTGCAATCAACCGTGTCAGCATGCGACGACTTTTTGAGAGCTGCAATCGATGTTGACGACACTGGCGACTTTGTTCAATTCAAGCAGCTGCCAACACCATCCCAGGTTGCAGAAGTGTACACTCGCCTTCTCAGCTCACAGCGCGCTCGAGAGATCGCCCAGGACGAGGCACAGCGCAAGCAACTGAGTGAGTTGGTCTTTGCGCTTTACATGGAGGCTACAGACCTTGTCAACAAGCAAATAGAACAGGTGGCAGGCGTGTGCGAAGCGCAGCATGATGCGCCGCTGGTTCGACAACATGTGCAGCAGACGTTCCACACCTGGGCGGATCATGTCGTGAAGGAGGTAACTCTGCCATCTCTAGGCAAACTCGCAAAAGCGGTGTCGCGCCGGAAGCTCCTTGCCACGTTCATTGCCTGCAGGCTCTGTGACCCGCCCATCGAGCTTGATGAGCAGCATCAAGAAGTGGCGGACATCACAGCGGATCAGTACCTTGTTCCACCGCAGTCCAGCACGCGTGAAGGCGTTGCCAAGTTTGTGCTTCCGGGGCTCGCGTCGCGCAAGGAAGGCGAAGCAGAGCCAGTGGAGTGGATCAAGCCCAAGTACGTTTGGGTTGAGACCAGTGGTTCACATGCCCTTGTTCCTATCCAGAACACAGACCGCAATGCTGTGTAGGCGTGCGTGCGCATTTGTATGTATGTTGTGTGCGTTTGTATGCGTGTGTACGTGTACGGGTGTGTCTGATTGTATTGTATGTCTTTGCTGGTGCTGTTGACCATCGTTGACCACGTGATGTTGTGCTTCTTGCTGCTGATGGATGATTAAACACGTTCTTCGCCGTTGAACGTCAAGGTCCTGGCAAGAGTAAGAGTGTAAACACGCACACACACAACACACACCTACACACACACAACACACACACACACACACACAAACAAACACACGCACACGCACACTCGCACACACGCACACACGCACACACACACAAACAAACAAACACACGCACACGCACACACGCACACACGCACACACGCACACACACACACAACACAAACACACAACACAGGCACAAAAAGCCACTGGTATCGTCCGGATAAACCCGCCTCTCTTTCCCACTCTTTGTTGTCCTTCGCCCGATCAATCGACACGACTTTCGATGACTTTCGACGGTCACATCACGACAAGAACAAAGAGAACGACACGAACAAAGAAAACGAAACCACCATGCATACAGGGGGCGATTGCTAAAGTTTAGCTTGCTTCCTTTGTTCACTTGCTTGTTTTGTTGTCCCCCGTTTCAGCACTTGCATAGCATCTCAGCACTGTGCCAACCTTCGTCGCGTGTTCTCTTGCTCCCCTGCATTCTCCCTTTGCTCGCATCCCTCAGCTCTCTTCCTCTGTTCTTCCCTCAGTTGCCTCACCGCAACTTCACGCCGCTTCACGCAACTTCACGCCACAACCACAGACCAAAAGCAGGAGGAAGCGCAAAGAAGAAGCATGGCGTTCAAGGAACTGCCCAAGAGAGGCGAATGTGCTGCATGTCCGGACAACAAAAGCAAGGCACCCGTTCAGCTCCCCCGCGCTCACGCTGCAAGTGCTGCACGTTTCGATCGAAACGTGCATGTTGAGCTTGATCAGGACAGTGGCAGTCGCGAGCGTGTGGACCGCATCGTGGTGCCAGCGCACGCTGAGTTTGTGTACTGCTACACCTTCAACCCGCTGAAAGCGAGGAGCAATGGAACCAGGTATCACCCCAACCTGCGACGTGTGTGGCTCGGTACTGGGAAGGTGGAACACCTTTCTGCCGACTTGGAGGAGTGCATCGATCTGGCGTTCTCCCCTGACACCAACTGTCGGCGTCTGCTCCAGGTCTTCGACACAGCAGTTGCTGTGTGGAATCCCTTGGCGGAGCAAGGCATTGCTTCACAAAGGCCTGTTCTTCTGCAAGCGGTTCTGCCGGCCAATGCACGTGTGGACAAGGAGCTTGGTGATGCCTTTCACCTGACACAGGCCGTGATGACACCTTCCATGGATCGAGTGATCGCGTTTGGCAACACGGACTTTGTCTTTGCGTGGTCCCTGCCGCACACCCAAGCCAATGCATGGCGCGTGCTGAAGGGCAAGAGACTACATCAACGCCATTGCCACCACCTGTGACGGTCGCATTCTTGCTCTCGGCATCAAGGACCTCAGCAAGCCCGTTGGCGAGGGACATCTCGTCCGCCTTCACGACCTCGCGTCCATGACAGAGCTGGCAGACCTCCAGGGCCACACGGACGTCATCACTGCACTGCGCGAGGTCCGAACCTCGTCCCCGGGCCGCGCGCAATGGGTGTGCACGGCAAGCAAGGATGGCACGCTCAAACTCTGGGACACAGACCGCCAAGAGTGCGAAGCCACCCTTGCCGCAGTAAACCCGCCGTTTGTTCAAGGGTACGAGAACACCGACATTGCCAGCGGGGCGACGGTTCTCCCAAGCCCCGACGGCCGCTTCCTCGTGTCGAGGCACCCCAACGCCACCTACCTGTGGGACCTGGCACGCTTCGAGTGCGTGAAGCAGCTTGCATGCCACGGAGCGTGTGCGTGGCTGCCTGGCAGCAAGCATCTCATCGGCATGAGCGGACAGACGCTGTTGACATTCGCTGCTCAGGGGGTGCAGGAGGCCGAGCGACCCCGCGTGGTCTGGAATGGCTCAGATTGTGGCGCGTTGTGCTTAACACATGATGAGCAGCGTGCCGTTGTTCGGCAGCTGTGCTGCGTCTTGGTGTTTGACGTGCACACGTCCGCACTTCTGGCGCGCACAGAACTGCCCGGCAACCTGGAGTCTGTGTTTGCCGTGACGCGCGATGATTCGCATGTGGCCGTCTCGAACAAGCACAGCATCCACGTTCTTCGGCTCGACAACGATTTGAGTGAGGACGCTGTGCTGCAAGGGCACACGCGAGACGTTGAGCACCTCACCATCACCTACGATGGCCGATACCTGGCGTCTGGCACACGGCGGGGCGAGATGCGCTTGTGGGACATTTCCAACAGAGCCGCTCCAACGTGCATTGCCATCGTTGCTCCTTTGCAGAGCCCAGACTCGCCAAGCTTCGTTGCCATGGCTGCCCTGCCAGGGGCACCTCGGGTTGCCGCATGCACGGGGGATGGCTCGCTCCGTGTCTGGGCAATTGGAGAGGAGGCACAACGCTTCCGTCAGGCTCTGGGGCAGCAAGCAACAGCCGCACAGCCCGGTTGCCAGCAGAGCCCGAGCCAACAGGAGGCTCACTGTTCCAGCAGCGAGGTTCCAGTCACATGTGTCGCCACGTTTGCCACGGAACTGAAGGTCGCGACGTGCATGGCGGTGAAAGCGAGCGATGAGCTCGTGGCAGTTGGCGGAGAGAAGGGCACCGTGAAGATCTACACATTGGCGCAGGTGCTGTGCCAGACGAACCACTCGTCCACGGACACCCCATGTACCACGCTGCGCATCGATACCCCCAGCGCCTTGGATTGCATCACCTTCTTTCCCAAAGCTGAGTGCCTGGCCGCCCTTGTGCGATGGGAGGGCGCGTACATGCAGCGGCTGACGAGTCACCCCCGTACTCCGCTCCCATGCAACCGTCAGAGCAACACCAGCCCACCGTGGTCATTGCTCGCGGCCTGCCCGACTTGCTTGTTGTGGACAGCAACAACCGCGTGCTTTTGGAACAGTGGCTTTCCGACATTCGCGCGCTTGTGGTTGTGCCAGTCGGCCCTGCCATCGATCATCGTCGCGTACCCTGCCATGACCCCTGCGTCGGCAGTGCACTTCGCGACCGCGATCTGAGGGAAGCGATGCTGAGGGGTGCCCCGGCTGAGTGGCTGCAGACGCTCGTACCTGTCAATTCAGCGACAACACAGGAGCTTCGGAACAGCAGCAGCAGCAGCAGCAGCAGCAGCAACCACAACAACAACAACAACAACAACAACAACAACAACAGCAGCAGCAGCAGCAGCAGCAGCAACCACAACCACAGCAACAGCAGCAACCTCACCAGCACCAGCACCAGCACCAGCAACAGCAACAACCACAATGACAACGACAGCAGCGACTACCTGCCGCTGGTGGCCTGGTTGGCTTCCCTGAGTGATGGTGCAGCAGATTTGCAAGCTGCTTTTGAGGCCGTGCAGCCTGGCTCACTGGATCTTCTCACACAGCCCTCGATGCTGCGAACGGCCATCACATGTTCAAAGGACAGCCGCATGGTCAGCCACGTCACTAGCATCATCAGCAGAGCCGTGCACGCAGACGCATGCAAGCGCAGACACCACGCGCACCACTGGTTCCTGGACGTGCGTGGTCTCAACACAAGTTTCACGGAAGACCTCATTGCCCTCATTGCGGGGTTTCCAGACCAAGCAGCGGAGCTCCTTGACAGCCTGGGCCTTGTGCCCCTGCACACCGACCACCACTATGACCACCAGCAGACCCGCCTGCCGGAATCGCAAATGATTGTGGTGGGCCACGAGCGCGGGTATGGCGAGTTTTTCCTGTGGAAGCGCCTGCGTGAGGGGAAGGTGTTGCACAAGCTTGAGGATGCAGGCGCAACGCCGACGCTGACAGAGGCGTGCATCGTGCCCATCCCGTATGCCGCGGCTTTTTTGCCTGGGAAGGAAGAGACGAGCTTCCTCAGGGCCCTCGCAGACAAGGGAAAAGCGGAGCTCTTTGGTAGCCGCATCGTGCGGGCCGTTGTTCAGTTCAAGTGGGAGACGTTTGGACAGCGCAGGTTTCTGTGGGAGGCGGCGTGGTACATGCTGTCCCTGGTGCTCATCACCGTGCTCACCTTCGTCTTCAACGCCAGCGGCAAGGACTTGGTCCAGCTCTTGGGTGCAGCCGACAACAGCAGCGCCAACGCCAGCGACATTTCCTCCGTCGTCATTGTGGCTCTTCTCGCTGGGATGGCCTTTCATGACCTGGTGCAGGAAGTGCGCCAAGTCGTGGCAATCAACAACTACCTGTTCTACGTGTGGAACTGGATGGACCTGGCCAGCATTTCGCTCATCTTCGTTGTGGTTGGCACGTACTTTGCTGGGTGGGTGCACGCGCGCGCGTTCTTAGCGCTTGCGGTGTATCTTCGGTGGTACCGTCTGCTGTACTACCTGCAGCCGTTCCAGTCGACTGGCCCGCTGGTGCGCATGATCCTCGTGATCTGCTATGACATGCGCTACTTCCTATTGGTGCTTGGCATCAGCATCGTGGCCGCGTGGACGTCGTTCCGGTTGTTGCTGCGTGATGATTCTGCGCTGCCGGTGGAAGAGCTGGGCGACCCGGCCAACGGGCTGCTGCTCATGTTCAACATGCTGCTGCTGGCGGACTTTGACCTAGCCACCTTTGACGGCGACTACGTGGTGCTGCTGCGCATCCTGTTTGTCATCTCCATGGTGCTGGTCCCCGTTGTGCTGCTGAACCTTCTGATTGCGCTCATGTCAGACTCGTACGAGCGCATCCAGGACCGCGCAGACATCGAGTTCCAGCTGCTGCGCGCACGCATCTTGCATGAGCAGGAGAAGTTCATGACCAAGAAGGAAAAGCGCAACCCCAAGCTGTTTCCAAAGTGGCTGCACGTGCTCGTGCCCAAGGGTGGTGCTGGCTCCGGTGGTGTGCAGTGGCAAGGCGTGCTGCACGCGTTGAAGAAGGAGGTGGCAGGCGTGGACAATCGAGTGTCAGGGGTGGAGCGGAAGGTGGAGGAGCAGATGGCTGACGTGCAGGCGAAGATGGAAGAGGCCCTAACGCTGCTGAAGAAGCTTTCCGAACCGCAGGTGCCCCAACAGGAGTGATGGCGCACATGCACATTGGTTTGTCGGTTGGTTGTCTGTCGTAGTCGTTGGCTGTGGGGCTGGGTGATGGATAGGCATAGGTCGGTCGAGTCACGCCCATTCACATTGCAGTCTTGTCATGGATCAGACTTGCTCCGTTTCAAACCTGAAGGAGCGAAGTGCTTCGCCAAGCCTGTGGTTTGCTGCAGCTCTCCTTTTGTCACCTTGCGCTTGCTCTCGCCGCTACAGTGTTACAGCACCTTGGGTCATCAATGCGTGCATTCTTTTCATTTCACTTCCACTCCTATCTCCGCATGCCTTTCATCCCTGTGCTTTGACCTCCATATGCCTCTTTCATGTAGCCTGTGTCACCTTTGTGTCTTTTCTTCATGATTGTTCATTCGTAAACAACAGCGCGCATGGGGTTGCTGCATGACACCACAACTGAAAGGACACGCACACACAAACTGTTACGTCGTCGTCGCACAGCTCCGTCACACACACGCATGCACACAAACAGACACAAACAGCCACACATACAGACACAAGCACATGCGCGCGCACAGACACATACAAACAAACAAACAAACAAACAAACAAACAGACACAAACTCAATGCCGGTGATGCGCGACATCATACGTACGTGAGCGAGAAGCAAAAGGGTACTTCTCCCATGAAGAGCGTTGAGGCTGACTGCGGATGACCTGTGGTTGCCTGTGGTTGAAGCCAGTCTCCTCAATCTCAGCCTCATTGTCACAGTCCTCGTCAACATTGATGTCAATGCACGAGCCGAGCTCAAACGAGTCACTGCTCTTGGACGGTTGAACGCTGCTGGACTGTGCCCTTTTCATGGACGCTGCTGTGGGCACTGCTGTAGCTTCTGCCGTGGGCGTGCAGGGTTCACTGGCGGCTGTCTCCATGTCACCCTTGCTGCGTGTTGGCTCCCACAAGTACTTCGCCTTGGCCAGGATGACGTCGTTTTGTCCGTCGTTCCACACAAGCGCAGGCAGTGCAAGTACCACGTCGCCAGTTGCGTTCTTCTGCGGCAGCATGTCCAGGAACTGATTCTTGTCAATGTCCTTGGCGTCCTGGGGCACCAGGCTGACTTTGATGGGAGGCTCAGTGATCGCACAAGCGACGAAGATGGGAACCAAGCCCTGTCGCATCTTCCTCAGTCCGGGCGTGGCTGTCCCGAACGCGTCATCGTCCATCGTGAGCCCAGGCGGTACCCATCGGGGAAAGGTGTTTTGCAAGCTGTATCGCAGGCGCGGGTCGTCTGGCTCAACGCAGGAAATGGCTGCAAGCTCTTGGCACTTCATTTCGACCTCTTCTTCGACACGGGCATACACGTGCTCAATCTCTAACAGGAGTGCGGCTGGCTGCAGCTCTCCTTGTAGCAGCTCTTCCAGCACCTTACCTTGCATCTCAATGCAAGACGTGTACTTGCGCGCAAGCTCGTAGGGCGTGGGAAACTCGCTGCTCAGGCGAATGCCTTGCGACCTCGTGCTGGCGAGTTTGCGCGTATCTTCGGCGGCGCGGAGCTCCTCTTGTAGGACGTCAAGACGGTACAGCATGTGTTTTGCATACCATTCAACGTACTTGAGCATCTCAATCTCGGACCTCTCCCAGGGCGTGTCCATGTTCCAGATGTGCCCAGTTTTGTGCGTGAACCGGGGAGAGCGGCTGTCAAACAGCTCACGACTGCTGCACAGCAGGGAAGCGTCCGTGAAGGCGCACCTCAGCGTTGCACTCAGTGCCGTGGACCCTGCACCGACGTGTTCTTGCAAGCTGTCCAGAATCATCACTTGTGGCACATCGATGGGCCCAGCCTGGGTGCTTTGCATGCTCCAACGCGGCCCAAGGCCAGTGCCTTGGTTCAACCGCACGCCACACAGCGGCGTGCTCTTCGGTTCCATTTCGTCCTGTTGTCCAGATGACAGAGAAGAAGAAGAAGAAGTGTGTGTGTGCATGAGAGGGCGCTTGGTGGTGGTCTGGTGGTAGTGGTGGTGATAGGGTGATGGTGGTGGTGGTGGTGGTGGGAAGTATAAGGAAGCAATTCACTTCATACACACGGATGAGAGCACACACATGCTTCTTTGAACATGAAACCCTCTACCTGATCGGGGTTGACGGGTGTTGGTCAGACAAAGGAGGGCTTCTTGTGACTGCAGAGCCAAGAACAGAAAATGCACAGCAATCACTCACAACCGTGACACCCAGTTCTTGCTGAGTCAAACTCATGTTGTGTCACGCTTTGCGGGTTTGGGACGGCGCCTCCCATGTCATGATTGACTGTGTTGAATGTGCGACCATGTCGCATATGACACAAAACGTTTGCCTTTTCGAAGGAGAACGCAAGCATAAGTCAGTCTAGTGCTGAAGTAGTGATGGGGTGTGTAAGATTTGGGGCAAGGGCGGCAAAATAAGAAGATACAACAAGACAACACCACGCACCGCAGCTGCGCATGTATGTGTGTTTCTGTATGTGTGTGTGTGTGTGTGTGTGTGTGTGTGTGTGTGTCTGTGTGTGTGTGTCTGTGTGTGTGTGTGTGTGTGTGTGTGTGTGTGTGTGTGTGTGTGTGTGTGTGTGTGCTCTTGAGTTTTTCCTATAGCTTCGTTCGATATGCAGTGACCATGCTGAGATGCTGAAGCACGTTTGTCTCTTGGGTCGGGTGAATTACTGAATTACAGCCTTCATTTGGAGTCAAAACCGGCTGTCGCTCGTCATGCAGCAACGAGGCAAGCAGAGCACTGACAGGACCCCACAAGCTAAAGAACAACACCAACACGAAAGATAACAAGTTCAATCCAAAAGAAAGAAGAAAGAGAAGCACCTGATCCAAGAAACACACAAACGCATGCACGCACACACACGCACGCGCACGCAGAGTCAGAAACATACCACTCACTATACCAGCAGAGCACCTCAAGCAGTGGCGTCAAAGTCAAGTAGCACACGCTCCTTGGCACCAGTTGTGCGCGAATGAACGAACATCATCAGCTCCGTCTCTCCAAACTTCATGCTCACATCAATTGGTTTCTCGGACCGGTTGCCCCGCTCCGTCACGGCGACGACGCACGAGCCATGCTGTTCCACATCATGCTCATCGGTAAACACAACGTTACTTCGGGGACAGGACACCAGGTCAACTCGCACACTGGTCTGTGAATGGCGGAGAGGGTACACGGTGTGCTTGACTTCGCGGTCAACAGGCACTTGGTCATTCACTTTCACAAATGTACTGAACACGTCCAAGACCTGATCTTGACCTGCGTCTCGATTGAACTCAGTCCGGCCATCGTACGATACACCAGGGTGATCAGCCTTGAACGATGTGACGTTCTTGGTCGTGCCAAAGCCGTACGTGAGAGGTGATCGCCGAACAATCACGAGCGCAGGTTCAGCACCATGACGGTCGCACGAGCCAGCCCGGGAAAGACCGAACCTGACGGCGCCCATGACAATGGAGGCCCAAGGCCGGGGTGGGATCAGCACCTGCACACCCGATTCCGATGCAACCTCCCGCACAGCATCTCGCACAAAGCTGCTACCCCCAAACCCGCCAACAAGCACAACATAGTCCGTCCGCCCCATGTCGCGCAGCAGCTCACGCACGTGCGTCTTGATGTCATTCAGCACCTCGTCGTAGAACGTCTTCATGTGCGCAGCGGTCAGCTTCAGGCTTGCAGCACCAAAGCACTTGAGGTTCGCGCCTGGGTGCTTCCTGTTGTACCGGGCCACGGCATCGACCAGCTTGGGTGGCCTGTCCATCTCTTGAAGCACAGGGTTGAGGTTGATGCGCAGCCTGGCGTCGGGGTCGCTCAGCCGTGACACGTCAAAGTTCACCTTGCGGTCCTCCCACACGCTCGTCAGCATGTCAAACACCGCAAACGTGTTTGCGCGCAGGCACGGCGGGTTGTCCAGCAGCTCGCGCAGGAACTCCAGAAACTTCTCGTCAATGCGGGTGGAACCCCAGTTGCCGCCACGCGGTGGCAGCGCCGCCTCAAGCCGCACGTTCGGCTTCGGCTGCATCACCTCAAACGCGGCCGTGTCCACAGTGCCCCCGCCACAGTCCACCACCACAAAGCGGGTCTTTTTCTTCAGCAGGTCCGCAGCAAGCGTCTCGTGGCAGTCCAGCGCAGCACACTCCGGCTCAAGCGCAAGCAGCAGCCGGTCAGAGGTCTCCGTGTCAATCAGCCCGGCCTTGAATGCCGCACGCCGCATCAGCGCCTTGGACGACTCCACCCAGATGGCAGGCACCGTCAGCACCCACTGCACCTCATACGCGCTCAGCGTGAGTGCGTTGCGGTCCTTGATCTGCTGCAGCACCATGTCCTTGAGCAGCCCCAGGCAGCGTGCAATCACCAAGTCCGTCGGCAGCTCCAGGTCGCCCACGTCCGCCTTCAGCGTCTTGGCGCGGGAGTTCTTGTACAGCTGCATCTTGAAGCGGTGGAAGATTGCGTGCAGCCCTTCCTCATATCGGCTTGTCGCTGAAGGCCCAAACCCAACAGCGTTGTGCGGCGCCTGTCGCTCAACAACAACGCTCGTCGGCACTTTGATGTTGCTTTCACCAGGAAACTGCAGCGCCGTGACGTCGTTGTCGCTTGCCTGTGCGAGCTTGTACGCGGCTCCGCTGTTGGTTGTGCCAAAGTCAATAGCTGCGGTGCATCGTGCCCCCGGCACAGCCCTCCCATGTGTCGTCGTCCTCCTCTGCTTGTTCTTGCTCTTCGTGTTGTCCTTCTTGCTCTTCCTTGGTTTGTCCTTCTTGCTCTTTGTGTTGTTCTTCCTTCTCCTCGCAAATCGCCGAACCAGGAACATTGTTTGCAGCTGTCGCGAAGGTGCGATGGGAAGGGCTGCCGGTGCTTGTGTCAGGGTTGTTTTGTTTCTGGGTTAAATTATCTCTGTGGTGGGTGGCTGCAGACGTTGTGGCTGTGGGGACAACAACATGGAAAATGGCAAAACGAAACGAAGGCAGGCGACGAAACCATTGTGGTTTGGTGGTTTGGGAGTTTGGTGGTGTCACAAGCACATACGGGGAGGAGGAAGAAAGAAGAGTCACGCAATAGCATGGACAAACACGAAGCAGTACTGCAGTCGAAGCAGAAGGAAGAAACGAAACAAGAGAACATAGCTTGCGCTGTTGTTTGGCATGTCACATTGCATGAGTCAGCGAAGATGTGCCATGTCATCTCGCAGCACACGCAAGCACAAAAGCAGTTGAGTGTGTCACAGAACATAGAAGATACACGGGAGTACCTGCAGCTGTCGGAGAGAAGGCAGGCTGCAAGGGGAGTTTGAAGGTGTCAGGTCTGTCGCACGCTGCACCTGCAGCAGCAGGCGAAACGCGAAATGCGATTGTCACGCCCATCCAAGATAGGTGTGTCACACGCGGCACGTCTTCGAAGTTGTTCACAAATTGTCGCTGCGTGTGACACATCGAAATCGAGAGGATGCTGACTTGCTGGGATGCGCTGTCCCATCCCATCCAAGCATGCAGGTGAATCGATGAGAACGGCTGTCCCAAACCAGCGTGAGACACCTGTGACAGAGACAGATCGATCCACTTGACACATCACATTGTGTGGACGTTCGTCATTGGATGTTGTCCGGCCGTCTTGTTGTGCTCTTCTTCATGCCGTCCTTCCTGCTCTTCAAGCAGCAGCAATTCTAGAGCATTTGGACCTTTCCTCTTGCCAGTCTTGCCTTGCAGCCCTGCATCTTCCTGTGTCCATGGCACAAACAGTGTGTATTTCATTCCCGTCAACTC